TGAGCTAGGTCGCCTCCATGGTGATGCCAGTGCTGCGTCATTCCCTTAAACTTGGACCAATTCCCTTGTCGTTTTATTTGGTTTGTTTTTCAAGTTTGGCACCACCAATGCCAACCACACTGAACTGAGGGCGATGGAAGCTCTGAATCTGGAGTCCCGGGCGAGGCCGCTATTGCCAAAGGCAGAGAAGCCTGTCCGCCAGCCACGCAGGACCGGAAGGGGCAAAGCCAACTCTGAAGCAAATGACCAGCAAAAGGCTGTACCAAAAGGTGCTGCCAAGCAAAAGGCCAAGGCCAAGCCAAAGAAAACAAAATGATTGCACCCTGGTAAGCCCTGTTTACTTTTTTGGGATGTTTGCTTTTCTTGGGACACCCGTCAATGGCTAATCTGTTGTTTGGGTCTTGACCAACCTTGGCAGAAAGATTGGCTGGCATCATGCTGGTGCAATAGACCGCATGGAACCAAGCTTTTTCAATCCAGTCTTAGGGGTTTGGCTTAGCCACTGGTGGAACTTTCAACTCAAACTGTTCCATTCCCGCATCCTTCATTGTGTGTGATAGCTTGGTGCAAGGCACCAGTGGCTGGTGTTGTGATCTTGAACACGCGTTTTTGTAGAAGCGCGTGCAATTTGGGTAGTTGGAAGAAATCAGCAATGATTTGGGGCAGTGCTTGGCTGAAAAGGTTGCCTGCAAGTGCAGCAGCCCCATCCCACACCAAACCATCCAATTAAGCGCCGTCCCTTGGGCCTTCTTCAGTGGTCCGGCCAGGTAACCAGCGCGGCGGACCTGTCTCAGAAGCTTTTGCAGAAGCTGTGGCAGATGGGGTCACGGCCCCATCGTAAATTTTAGTCAGAGTGATGTCAAAAAATGATTCCAATTGTTTTTGCTCAACTACTATGGCCCCATTGAACACCACTATTTCCACAACGTGAGCCTTGAACAAAACACACACTCTGACATTGGTTTGCTGTTAACTCAATTCCCACGTCGAGAAGGAAGGTGAGGGAACGGGAAGGCGCATGAGTCAGCAAAACAGTATTGTTGAACCAGTGTTTCACAGGACGCCCAAGTGCAAACGGCGATCGGGGGCTGCAGAATGCTGCTGGAAAGGGTTTTGGGAGATAGCATGCAGAAACCACCATGAAACAAACCGAGATTGGAACAGCTTGAGCAAACGTTTTGGTAGCAGGTACACGGAAGTGATCAGCTTCCGCTTCCTAGGATCTTGCAAAGAGCTTCGATGGGCAGAGCTTTGCAAGTCCTCTCTGCCCCTGCTTGGAAACATTGGAACCCTTAGGTACAGGGGTTGACACACACACGGTGCCGCTTTGCGGCGCTCGTGCGAACGACCTGAATAGGCACCTAAAAAGCCTTAGAAACAAAAGAAAGAAACACAGAAAGAGCAGCGCTAAGAGGGCAAGAGAGAAAGATAGGTGTAGAAAAAAGGTGAGTACTTAGCCCTTGACTGGGGCAGGGAAACGAGCCTCAAGAACAACCTAAAAAGCCTGAGAAAAAGCCCAAGAAACGACCGAAAGCGTAAGAAAGAAAGGGGGGGGCAGGGAGGGGGTGTATGTAGCATGTGTGTGTCCGTGTGTGTGTGTATGACTACTTAGCACTCTAGAGTTACTGACTACTTAGCCGAGGCAAATTAAATGCAATAGTTAGGGAGCGGGACTTTAGTCTTAGACCGCCCGGGTAGAGAAGACTAGAACAGGAACAACAAAGGGAAAGGCACCGACACACAAGTGTGTCGAGTACCATTTCCCTGTGGTGCCCTAATTAGGTGGAGTAGAACTCGGCGGGGGGGGGGAAGGGAAACGTGGAATTCCGTTTTTTAGCCCTGCGGCTATGGTTGTTCACCGTGAAAGCCCGGCGGCTCTTTGTTCAGACAATTCAGTAGAGACACGGAAGCGGTGAAAGTGATCCACGGTGAAAGGACGAAGATTCAGGAAAACGATTTCCGGTAGGAAAACGGCGCCTCCTTGCGGAGGATCATGAGCGGTTCACACTCTGACATTGGTTTGCTGTTAACTCAATTCCCACGTCGAGAAGGAAGGTGAGGGAGCGGGAAGGCGCATGAGTCAGCAAAACAGTATTGTTGAACCAGTGTTTCACAGGACGCTCAAGTGCAAACGGCGATCGGCGGCTGCAGAATGCTGCTGGAAAGGGTTTTGGGAGATAGCATGCAGAAACCACCATGAAACAAACCGAGATTGGAACAGCTTGAGCAAACGTTTCGGTAGCAGGTACACGGAAGTGATCAGCTTCCGCTTCCTAGGATCTTGCAAAGAGCTTCGTTGGGCAGAGCTTTGCAAGTCCTCTCTGCCCCCCTGCTTGGAAACATTGGAACCCTTAGGTACAGGGGTTGACACACACACACACTGTGTAGATCCCTTGTCCGCTGGCTGAGGTGCCAGTGACAACATGCGAGACTATACGGCAGGGTGCGTTGATGGAAGTGGGCATTGCACCTCGCCCAGAAAAAATCCACAACATTGTCCGGGACACTTACCGACAGATCGGACGCTTTGGATTTGGATGGAGGGTCGAGCTGGATGTTGTTGATTTTGAATTTGACGATGGAGACATTGTGTCGGTGCATTACTTACACCCACGGAAGCTACTACAATTCTTGGTCACCAAGAAGCCAGTAGCAGTCCATGGGGGGAATCCCGATGCAATCTCAGCATTCTGGGAGGCTTACCACCCTTATCACCCTTCCCATGAAACGTATGTCCATCACAATGACATGGCGCGGGTGGTGCCAATTTGCCTTCACGGCGACGAAGGCCGTGGAAAGCGTCGCAGCCAGACCACGGTTGTCAGCTGGGAGTGCGTCCTGGGCATGGTCGCTGCACCCACTCGGTGCTCTCAGTGTAAGCCAACTTCTTTGCCCGAAGATAATGGTGTTGGATGGGGCGGAAACCCACTAGCAAGAGATTTGGTCTGCAACCTGAAGGGGCACTCGTTCATCCAACACTTTCCTTTGTTCGTTCTTCCAGGAACAATTTGGAAGGCGTACAAAACGATTACGCACAAAATGCTCCAACGGGTGGCTTCTGATTTTCATGACCTCTTCTATCACGGGGTGGAGGTCGATGGGAACACATGGTATGCTGCGGCAATTGGGAGCAAGGGGGATTTAAAATGGTGGTCGAAGATATGTCACCTCAAGCGTGGTTACGAGAACAAAGGAAGCTTGATTTGGATGAAGGGATGAACTTTTGATTTACCATTGGGGAATCTGCTAGATGTGTTGTCGTTTGGTAAACCTGGTTTTCTCAAACCACACAAGCAAAGCCAAGGAAAAAAGAGTGACATCCCGCATTGTCACGCCTGCCTCGCTGGCAGTGCAGGGCTTCCTGCCGAAGATCTGGGGTCGTCCCCATGTTGGGTGTCAACAATCTACAAGGTTCGCCCATGGGATGTGGAGAACCCACCAGACCTCGATATGGTTCCGTATGATACTGAGATGCCTGAAGCCTTCTATAAGCACGATTCATTTCATACTTTGCGTTTGGGCATTTACCGTGACTTCTGCGGCAGTGTTGTGTTCATGCTGTTGCACATGGGCTACTTTGGTCCTGGCGATATCGATGCAAAGCTGACCGCTGCCCATAACCACTTTCATTTGTGGCAGCTTGCAACCCACAAGCATGCGGCTCTTCGAAGTTTCACAAAACACCTTCTGTGCTACAAGAACGCAAAATCGTTTCCATGGTTCAATTGTAAGGGGTCTGACTGCGCCCTTTTGGTTATGTGGATCCACACCTTAGTCTGTGGAATTCTGGTTGGTGGGGTGCCGCGAGATCATCAAAGACCCTTGGAAGTGATCCGGGACACTGCTGCGGTGGCCACGGACTTCTATGACATAGTGGTCAAGCACAACATGTTTTTGACCAGGGATTGTGGCTCCTCATTGGTGGAAAAGGGTAGATCCTTCATCAACGGATATTGTTTCCTAGCCCAGCTCTCATTCACCTTCCAGTGGTGCTTGTTCGCTATCAAGCCGAAGGCCCATTTTTTTCGGCACATCGTGTATGAGCTGGAGAGTCAATTGGCCCGACAAAACCAATTGCTGTTGAACCCTTTGCTATTTGATTGCTCCCAGAACGAGGACTTCATAGGCCGAGTATGCCGGATGGCCCGCAAGATCGACCACAGGGTCATGGGAGTGAGGGTCTTGACCAACTACTTAATCAAGGCGGGGCTTCTGTACGACCGTGCTGTGCAAAACAAAAAGCAACGACTGGCCGCTTAAGTTCACTCGCCTTTGGATTCCACACAAGTGGAGACCATTGCAGCGGCAAAGGAAAACAAAGATGGAGACATGTGTGTTTGGATTTGCTGGTTATTAGAAGGGCCAAGGATTTTAGCAAGTATTTGGATTTGCTGGCTTAACATGCTCTTTGCTCAGAAGGGTCAAGGGTTTGAACATGATGATCTTTATTGTTTGGATATCTGTCGTACGTCGTCTGATTGCCCACTACTTGAGCAGGAACCGGCATGAACGAACGTTTTTTTTTTGAAACCGCGTTTCTCTATTGAAGCGACGTAAATTCTTTGTGTTTCGGAAACACGCGTAAATTTTGCAGAGGCGGAGTTCCCAGGTATACAACTATACTATATAGATGTCAGCTAACAGCTGAGAAGCAAAAAGAGTCTACAACAAACACCGGCAGAGTACCGCCGCCCACAACTAGCCATGTATTCTTGTAGACACGATGTACAAACGCACGATGGCGGCCCAAAACCGAGTCGACCTGTCTGCACTTCGAGACCAGATCGGAGACACTGGACTTGCCAAGAACACGGGGGTAGCCGAACAGCTCGAACAAATCACCTTAAAGCTGCCCAAACCAAGATGAGTGGCCCAAAAACATCCCAAAATAACTTTACAATTAAAACAAGGAAAAACTACAACCAAGAGGACCAACACACACACCACCCCACCGAACCCAAACCATTCTTTTTGGAGGCCGAGCGGAGCTGAAGCGGGGCCTGGTTGATGCTCAACACGTGCTTCACGGCCTCACTCTGCATCTTCAACAGCTCCTCTGACAGCAAGGACCGATGGCGCCCGATGGGAGAAGCAAGGACGCTCTTAGGTGGAGGCCATCGCAAGTAGGTTGGATCGCAACAATTAACAAGAAACTACTTGTAGCAAAAAAGGGTGTTGTTGTTCTTGTTGTTGTTGTTGTCGTTTCCCGTTTGGTCGAAGAGCTTCATCGGATTCCGAGAGTCGTCCGATGGTTAGCGGTTTGCGACCGCAGTTGGCGACGTCTAAAAGCCCTGAAACAGGTGCACCAGTCCACGATGTGTGCGTTTTTCTTGGGAGTGCTCTCAGATTGTAGACTATCCTCTCACAAATATCTAAATTCCGGCTAAGGATGTTCCTTTATGAAAACTATAGGTTGAGCACCTGCGACCGTCCACAGTTCTTGGTATGGATATCCATCATTGTGCCATCCCGACATCTAGATTATAGATTGTCTGGGTCTTGCCAGACGCCACTTGCACTTCTTCTCCAACTTTCTTCCAAATCCACACGTTCCTGCTGGAAGCTGGATGAACTGGGCCTCTTAAGTATCAGAATCATAGCTTGCGTCTTCCACTCAGTTGAGCTGCCAGCCCGGCACTCCTAGAAGACAAATCCCCCCAACTTAGGTCTCCTCCATGGATTTGGAGCTGAGGTCCATCGCGCCGCGGGCCGCGGGGCGGGCGCCACGAATCCGGCGGTTCTGTTTGCCGCTGTCAGGATAGGAGTGGCACCAAGGCCAGGGGTGAGCCAAAGTGACTTGCAAGTTTCGGGTGGAAATGGTCCTTGTACCAGGACACTCCAAAAGGTCACCAATTCAGACCTTTTAAATTGAAGGACCAAACAACCCTCCAAACAAGACTTGTTGGAAGGTGCTTGTATAGACATACACTGAAGCAAACTGCTGTGAATCTAGACATCATGTCGTGGTGCTGGAAGGTCCATGTGAATGATCCGGGTACAAAGCTTCTGAAGCAACTAAGGGCTCTGTGTGTAGCAGCCTTCAAAGGATGTAAAATGTGATTAAACAGGGACATGCCCAAAGGTGTCAAATGTGTCTAGATTCTAGATCTCGCATACAATCACCTTCCTCCAGCGTGACCAACAGCACTGTGAGTGTTCCAATGAAGACCCCACAGGCCGTGAGATAGTATGTTTTCCAGGATCCATTGCCGCGTACCGCGCGCGGTCAAGGTATGTACAGGTGCGTGAGGCAGCTTTTGATGCCGCACTGTCCACAAATACCCAGCTCAAAAGAATCACCTGGCATGTGAGTGAGCTCTGAGCTCAACTGGGTGGTTGGAAGCATCCAGAATTCACCCATCTGTCCAGGTGCAACGCACTCTTCCTAACAAACTGTGTCGGCAAATGTCGGGAGGACTGGCTGAGCTTGGTTAGTTGAATAAGCCCATCGAAAACAAGAAGCCACGAGCCAGATTGAAGCCCTTTCAAGCAGTAATGTGCTCAGTGCTCATCCAAACTCAAAAATATATATAAAAAAAGCCTCTGAGACGAAAACGCGGTCCAACATAAAGTCTCAACATACTCCACAACAGCGCTGCGCACACAAGCTGCTTGTATTGCTCTTCAGCCAAAGCCAGGTTACTCCCACAAACAATCCAACTCTTTATCCCAGAATTCTGTGAAAAATGCAATCCTAAGCTCTAACGTTCTCTTGTTCTGCATGGTTTGCACATTCTCCCATAACCTCCCATGAACTTCTGAAAATCCATGTCCCCGGAAGTGGCTCGACCTCGCCTGGAGTCCTCGAGTTTCAGGTCACACGGAAGCTGCAGTGGGCGCAGAAGTTCGCCCCAGGGGCTCTTGGCATTTGGAGGCCACACCTTCCCGACATGTGGCACACGAAAAGAAACCAAAACACTTGATATGCTGGCACATTTACAAGCAATTCATCTTGTGAGAATTCATGAATAGATGAAACCTTCATACTTGACACCTTCATATCTAATATATTCTAATATGTGTTTTTTTACCTTTGGGCCTAAAGTGTTTCAATCGTCGAATCCCTGGTGCGATGCCCAGGCCGTTTTTGTTCAGGCCTTATAAGTTCTTATAAAATTCTGTCCAAGTCAGCGACTAAACTATCTCGTCTGCGCCGCGCGTGGCTCCTTCCAGGTCAGACCGGACCGGACCGATCCGCCTGGGACACGCCGAAGGCGATGGCTTCACCTCCGATGCTTCAGTGGCACGGGGTGTGGGCCACGGAGAGGTTGGGTGTGTTCTTCCCGGGGGTGAGACAGTCTTGAATCTGTTTCCACTTCCGGGAACAATCAAATATATATAGTATTATATAATTATACATCATACACACATTTGCATGACCAGAAAGTCGCATGGATGCTGCTAGCCTAGATTAAGCTGCCCTTCCAAAAACGCGCCCTCCTTTGGCAAAGCCACTACCACTGGCGAGGAATCTGCAAATGAACATGTCCGAAGGTTATTGTGTACCAGGGTTCAAATTAAACCCTCTGAGTTGTTGCATTTTCCCCAACAACCAACGGGACCATGGTTTTGTTTGTCACTCTTTCGGGGGAAATGCCATCAACAACTCCCAACGAATGGCACTTTCAGTGAAACAAGCGAACCTGAGACATCACATGGCATGACAGAACAGGAGGGTAAAGGAAGGCCTCATCTTGTCATACCCCATACGTATACAGTATACAGTTTCTTTTGGTCGCTGTTGCCACCAACATTTCCTGTTGGAATTAACCTTCAGCTGCAACTTCACGTTTCAACTTAAAGACATGAAGGGTGTGAGTCACTAGGCCGGCCCGGCCATTCAACAACGACGAGTCAAGTCCAGGTACCGGTAGCTTTAAGAAACAGAACAAGGTTAGATACCACAGATGCACCTACTTTTGACATGGATTCTTTCCTGGTTTCTGCCATTCCATTTCTTTGACAACAAATTCGGTCTTTCTTCGATCACAACGTGACCACACATCGAGCCCCGCGGTCCACCTCCGCGAGGATCGGCCTCACGAGGTCCGAACCGATTCGAACCGATCACGCGAAACAAACGAGCACACACAGTGCTTGTAAAGGACTCGGAAGGCGGTAAGGCGGCCTAGTAAGGCGGTGCCTTTCGTGTTTTTTTGGTTCTAGTGTTTTAAGTGATGATCTGTGGAAGACTCCAACGGGCTCGATGCAACTAACCCCAACTCCCCAGGCTCTGACAAATCTTCAAACTCTCCAAATCCTGTTTCTGATGATCCTGCAAATACTGCCTCAAGTTGTTTTTATCTGCAACACATGCATGTTTTTCCTTTGGGTTCTCTTCAAATGCTGGCGCGCATTTGCTCATTTTGGTCTCAAAAAATAGCCGTGCAGCCCGTGCAGCAAAGCACGGAAAAAAAAAAAGTTGGTCAAATCATTTTTGGGGGACGTCGGATCGTGTCGGCCTATTCCAAACACGACGTCGGAATTTACCGGACATCCACCACGCCTGGGCTTCCACCAATCACCCGTGTTGAAGCCACTGAACAGTGACGCGACGGAGGAACCCACCTGCATGAGGGGAACGCTGTAAAAATCAGCAAAGCAATGATGTCCTAAAGGGAAATCAATGGAAATCGAGGGGTCAATTTGGTCACATGGGTCTCCATGGGTCTCAGTCCTCTCACCGGTCGCGGGGGCCGTGGAGATCCAGGTCGCCGGTCAGAGCCGGTCGATCGCGGATTCGGCTAGATAAATATAGCATGGTCTGGTACTGTAGCAGCGCGAGACTTCCTCATGATGTTTTGTAACATAACAGTGCCATACAAAGGGACACACGCAGAATTCACAAACAGGATAAGCATGTTTCCTTCACATAGCATCTCTCCCACCCATGACAAACTGACCATTGTTCACACAAACGTGAAAACACCAGCGACTCACCCAATGTCAAGGCTATGTGGCTGTGGGTGACCTACCTCTGGGTCACGACCCATGAATCATCAAAAGAAACCATCCCTTCAAACTTGCCCGACCTCGTTGGCACATCCTTTTTTCTCTTCACTTGCATCCATGGTGCACCCATGGCCCGCGGTCTCATCGCAGCATGCCCCGTCCGCCCCCACCGCGGACCTCAACAGCGGCCCGGCTGAATCACGCAGAGGCGCAAAGGGGGGTTCAAGGGGTCCAATGAAAGAACAACAAAAAGGTCCTTGAACAAAGATAGTTATATAAATGGCTTGGTGAATGGCTTGGTCTGCCGACGTGTGATCTGTCTCTTTTTAATGGCGGAAGATCCTTGGATTGGATGTTGAGTAGTTGAGCGTTGTAATAGTCCATGTAGGCAAGTCTGTGCAGGAAAAGGTCCTGCAGTTTCTAGCCACTCCTTCCTGATGAGGAACCATTCAAAGAGCAAAGAAACTCAACCCAATGAACTTGTTGTAGCTATGTCAAGAACGGTATCAATTCAGTTGAGAGGAATTGAAACATTGATCAATGACCAACTGTCAGGTCGTGTCGCGACTTGGATCTCATGAAGGGCACGACCTGTGGCCAAACCATTGGGCAAATCAACATATTCACCAACATCAAACAAACAACAACAAAAAGGAATCCGACATGAAGATGTCGCAGCTACGAAAAAGAGATCTGCTGTCCCCAAGAAAGGCCACTTGAGCAGGCGTTGCAACTCAAAAAAAAAACATGTTCACGCTAAGCACGGCGACCAGCTTCGCATAAATGCCACGCTTCCGCATGAGGGCCTCACCATCGCAGGCGAAGAGGATGGACGAGGATGGACGAGTCACGACGGCTTGAAGGCGAAGACGGCGTCTCGTCCATTCGGCCTATGACCTTCAGGTCTTCTCAGGGAAGCGAAATGAAAAAGGGGGAAAATGCAAGGTTAGCTTTGGCTAGACAATGCCACAGTCACCAATTGAAAAGGGCATAAACATGTAGCATCTTGCATAGACCACACTGTGCAGTGGAATCTTGAAGACACCTCTACATGCAATTGCTTACAATACAGGCAGGGCAATGTTGAGCAGGGCTCATCGGATTTGGAGACATGTTCCACCATCGTTTGGTCCTTGCTTCCAAATCCATGACCTTTCCTTCCTATGTGTAAAGGATCTTTTGGGGTAGGGCATGGTAGGGCAGCATCGCAGCTTGATGGATGCCACAACCAGTCCAGAAACTAGGTGTGCCATTTTGCTAAAGAACAAACACAAAAATCAACATGCCATGGATCATTGTGTGTCTCTTTCGAACGTCCTCAAGGCCGGAAAAACAATCTCCAAAAAGTCCAAAGTCCTCATGCTTGGATTCCCTCCAACCATCCCTCCCAAAGCCAGAAAACAAATCGGACATGCCTGGTGTTTGCCTTCTTCTGCAATCCGGCCCTGAGCTGTCAAGCATCAAAACAGCTCAGCTGCGAAGGTGTGGCAGTTTTCATTTTGCCCGTGAACGATTTCAACCAACCAGTGAAGCATCACACCGGAAGCCTAAAGGACCGATTCTTCTAGAAATGAGAGACACTCCACATGTGCACAGCTTTAGGACGAATGACAATGTGGCTTGGAGGTCCGTGGCTCGCTCAAACAGCCCGCAGCCCGCCTTGTCCAAAACGACGATCTTGTCAGCATCCATCACGGTGCTCAAACGATGTGCGATCACCAAGCATGACGCAAACCTCCGCATCCAGTACCCAAGGCAGCGGGCTTTGGTCCACTTGGTGCCATAACTATTCTAGAGATCAGGCACAGCCCACAGGAGATACTTCCTTGAAATACTGAAATACAAACAAATACACACAAGATCACTGTAAGAAGAACAGCAAGGGGAGCTGCACCGTTTGCAGGACAAGGCAGATTGCTTCGTCAAATGCCGAACCCTATAGCCTAACACAGAAACCCTCCATGTATGGAATATATATGCCTACAGTATCCTACATTCCACCCCAATGTAGGTAAATAGGTCATGCCTGGAGTGTCTGGGACAAGGAACACTTGCAAGTATCCGATGTGCTATCATGATTGATCATCTACTGGGAGTTGATTCGAAGACGAAGCAAGGTATTTGGCCTTTCGACACGCTGCATGATGCTAAAGCAATTTGTCATATTGCTTCAAGTCTGACCAGTTCAAGATAAAACAAATGAGCTCCATATACCCCCTTGCAGAATTGCAGAATTGTCCTATTCTGCAACAAATCTCAAGGATTACTTGGGTCGACACCGTCGTTGGCGTCTTCGAGACCCCTTGACATAGGCTGCACATGCAGGATTGTGGATGCTTTTCTGGGATGAACATCCTGCAAGACCAACCATCTTGAGACCAACCACCGATTGTGAAAACAACTGTAAAACCCCGTGTTCCTCATCTGACTCGTGGCTACGTGGAGATAGGTTTGCTCTCCCCATGCCTCTGCTTGAGGTACGCGTTCACGCTTTTCTGGCAGAACAAGAGGCAACATTGCACTTTCAGGAAACCGCGACTGGTGCATTGAAGAAAAAGAAGGAAACCAGAAGCTACTAGTAGCGTTCGGACGCTATGCTTGGTGGAAGCCATCGCAAGTAGGTTGGAGACCATCGCTACTAGAGGTTGGAGGCCATGTTGTTACTACCCTTCGCCCCCGCGGGCGTCCAACAAATGTTTTGTCTTGTCGGCATGAGTTGGGTCATGTGATGTCTGTGTTGCCATGTGGTGGGACTCCCAAACCACGGGCAACTTCATATGGTTGGTTTGAGGTATCAACTCACTTGCAAAATCTGAATCATCCCAAGTGTAGGTTATATATAAGACTCTCTGAACCACCAGCCAAATGCTTATGAATGTTTGAACCCGTTAAGGAGAAGCAACGAATTTACATCAATCTTCCGTGTTCGAAATCAGCCATCGGATGGGCCAATTCAGACCGATCCCACCAGTCACTTGCGCCAGTCAACATGAGTGACCCCGGAATGATCAGATCACGCGGAATGCTCATAGATGGTAAAAACATGTAAAAACATGTTGTAGCACAATCCCCAAACCCGGAAAACTAACACAAATCTAACACCTATGGTAGATTCCACAAGTGACGAATTCAACAAGTAGAGCCTGCAATAGGACAGCTCGAGGTCCAATCACCGGTTGCTCAGTTGATCCATGTTGACCACGCGGGTCAAAAACCCTAGGACCTACTGTATTCATTTTGATTCCAGTCGGTGACTTGGAAGGTCGAAAGGTTGCGCAGCGAACCTTGGTAGTTGTGCGCGGCATAGACTCTTGATTCATCAAGCCCCTGGTATGAAAGAGGTTTTACAATCCAAACGGGGTGGCTAATGGGGGCTATTAATCAAGAGTGTATGCGATGTTGCATACTGAAGTGGGGTATACGGTATGCGCTATGCTTTCTCATGCGTGCCTCTGGGAAGAACGACATCTCTGTGTCCCAAGCTCGCCTGCACCGCTGCTTCAGTCCGGCTATCCAATGCTGAAGTGGCCTCCATTGCCGAAAGCGACGATTCACCTGGACTTTCTTCACACATGACCCATTTGTACATCGAAGTACAAATGCACATGGATATTGAACGTTATCAAATACTCCACCCAACTTTCTTTAGGCCATGTCACAAGTGGCCCAACTCACCGCCCAAAATGATCTAATGCCCATGCGTTACCTTGAGGAAACCAGGGTAAATACCAAAGTGCGATCTGAAATCGCTTTCTCTGCAGCAAATCCATCAATCGAACGGCACAGAACATGACCTCACGTGTGGCAAAAACACGCACGCATGCGTTTCGCGTCCGCAGCGCTTGTGGTCCCTCAGGCCTCATCTAGAATGAGGAACCGTGGTCGCTTGACCTCGTGAAGACTTCCAAAGAGGTGCTTCAATTAAGTTAAACATTGCATCTATGGGGGCATAGATGAGTGCACCCAGTCAGTGGTTGTATGTGTTGTGGAATCATCTCATGTGTCTAAAACCCAAATATGAATAGTCCAACTTGCTGAATTTCCAAAGCTTGGTGAGCCAGCAACGGACACTCGAGCGATGACAAGCACATATGAAGCGCCTATTTAGCCTAAACCTAAACGGTATTCTGACATATTCCTGAGATGGGAGTCATGTGGGGAGACCCCAAACAAATTAATAACTGTATATCATATCATATCACATCATATCATAATATATATATATACGGTATTTCATTCGTTCCAGGAATGGGGGCCTTTGCATCATGGTCTCTACACTTTGACGCACATCGCCAGAAAAAAAAAAAAAAAAAACACGAGATAGTGGTTCCCAGGATCACTTTGGATTTCCATCATATATAGCAAATATATAGCAACTACTAGCAACTAGAGTAACTAGAGTCTATAGTCTACAACAAGTACATATACACTTACATATATATATATATATGTAAATAATATATGTATATATAACTATATATGTCCGGGAAACCTAAGGTCAAGACATCAAGACAAGCACCTCCCGCCATTCTAAGGCCGATGTTCCGTCCCTTCGGGCTGCCCGGCCAATGCCCGGGCCGGCGCGATACGCTGCCGTTGCCCTCCTGAAAGGCGGA